CAAATCTGATCTCTTCTGAATAATATTTTTATTTTGAATATATTATTTCAATTACACTTGTAATTAAATCATGCCAGGTTGGAGACAGTAACATAATCCTGGAATACAGGTGATAGAAGCAGGTATGTTTTGTAAGATGCTTCTGAGAATGGTAATTCCCTTTTGCTTGTTACATCTGAAAAGACAGTTCTTTACGCTTGTCAAAATTTCTTCCTCTGAATATGTGTGCAAGCAAAGTCAAAACATATGTCTAATTAAATAGGAGCGTTCTGTCTTAATAATACTTAGCTTTGGAAACATGTTAAACAAATGAAATTTGTCATCACAGGCTTAGCATCCTATCAGTGTGATCTGGTAAGCAGTCACTACCGAGCAGGATCTTCAGTGCAGAACAGCAGTTCAGAGAGCCCCTATCAATCCTCCACTACACAGCTATTTTGGAAAAGCTTTTGCATGTTCCTGTGCTGCATTTGTGTGGGTCACTGACTGCACACAGTGCCCCTCATGTGTGATGGTGTTCTGATTGCTTAGATGGTCTCTTGCTGCCCATTGTTTTCTGTGGAGTCAGCAGGAGCAAAGAGTTGGATCCCATGCTTGTACTACATTTGATGATGTTGTTAGATCTATTCATGCTGTCTCAAAATAATCACCCAGAGCTCTCACATTTTGTCTGCCACCCGGGGTTTCATGCTTTTGCAGTAGCAGCTCCTTTTTAGGTTTGACATGGATGCTATTACAACAGCAATTTTCAGTTTTCATTGGCACTGTGCTACCAGTAGGATCTCTTTTGGAGTGAAAGGAAATTTTAAATAAACCTAGATTAAAGGTAGCTGCCACTGTAAGGGCATAATATTTGTGACAGCAGAGGCAATGTAAAACCTGTGGCTGACTATTTCAAGACTTCTACTTGTCTCTGATACATGTAACCTCTTCACTGTGGTATTGAAGCCGCTCACAGCCACTAATCTGTTTCCTTTCTGGAAAGGGTGATACTTGGGATTACACTGATTTTTCAAATGGAGGTTGAGGAACAAGGGAAATAGCTGTACTATATCAAGCACACAAACTGTGGTGGACCAGAACATCACACAAAGTGCTCTAGACTTCTGGGGGTCTTTGCTTCTATCTAGTCTTGCCTTGGGCATAGCTGTTCTGAGCTATGTGCCTCCCTCTAGCCCCTGAGGATAGGGGAGGCCAAGAGGTTACCTAGTTCCATTTGTCCTTGATACTTAGACATGGTCTCTTTAAGAGGTTAACACTTAACTGCAAGGAGTTTAAGAGAGTCGATACTGTGGCCTTGAGGGTGTTTTCAAACACCTCTACAGAAGGAAATGGGAAACCATGAGTGAGGTGGGCTAAGCTTCACGTCCCTAGAGACTGCTGCAGTAACCGAGGGTTTCTTCTTAAATTACCTGGGCTGAGGTGATTAATTCAGGATGAATCATAAAAATGTACCCATTTTCATTTTCCTTTTTATTTTCACAGCAGCTTGGAAAGTGCTGGGAACCTGGAAGCTACAATTTGGCCTTCAATCAAAATTGGTGGCAGTTTGTTCAACAAACATCAAGGTAGAGCCTCTGGAACACAGTCATTACAAGACTGCTTCCAGGGCTGAAATGAGATATGGATAGTGCACAGCCTCTGTGATAGCTCTGCGTGGAGAAATGGAGAAATGGAGAAGCCACTGGGGACCTGTTCCTACCACTCTTCCACTCTTATCCTTGTGGGGTTAGTTTACTGGGGAGTTCATAGCCTCGCTGTTTGTGTGGGCATTGGTATATGTCCTGTTGTTCTGAGAGCCCATCTTTTATTTAAATGGCTGTTTTCCAAACTATTACTCATCAAGATGAATTGCTGTCTCCTGCTGAAATACATGTCTTTCAAGTATGCCTCTGGACTCTTATTACTTCAAGTGTGGCAGAACTCTGATTTATGTTAGATTTTCCTCACTGTTCAAGGCTTCAGTAAAAAAAAAAAAAAAAAAAAAAGACTTGATTCAGAAAGCCAGTGATGGTATATTATTTTATTATTTTTTTAAATTGTGGTTTGTAAATTAAGGCAATTTAACAAGGCAGTTATAAAAGCCTGCTGCTTTTCTGCAAAGCCTTAAAGCATACACTTAAAGCCACATGTCCATTTTTGTGTCTCTGATTCAGTAGAGCACTTGTTCAAGTGCTTGACACTAATCTCTACAGTCCAGTAGTCCTAAAACCCATCCAACTGTATGTCTATGCCAAGCCAAAACTAGAACACACATAAATGCCTCAGAACTGCTCACCAGCATCAACATAAACCTCCATTATTTTCCCACATTTAGAAGTACGCTTAATTAATTGATCATAATGGAAGAATGTGATTATGAAAAGCATGTATGACTTTCAAAATTACCCATTTGATGTACAGATGCCAATGCACATTGGTAGTGTTCTGCTTGTACCTTGTGTGCTATAACATTTGCATGGAGAAAGTAAGCTTTGAGAAACTTGAAACTTGTTGTACTTAGGTAGAATAGAGCTGTCCATTCCCAAGATCTGATTGCATTTAATGTGGATTACCCAGAGATAAGATCTTAAGTGTCACAGGCTCCCCTCATTCCATAGCCAGCTGTCTTATGACTGGTTGCTGTTGGAAAGTACCTGCCTTTTTGAAATTGTAAACAGTGATTTTCTGGTTTTGCATCTTGACCCTTTTCTCTGACACTCTGGTAGCCTCTGACACTCTTATTTGATATTCAGTTATCCTGCTGATGTTAATCCTGCTGATTTTTTTTTATCCCTTAGTGCTGGAGACAAAGTGTACAAAAATGGCTGAATGGGGGACAAGGGACCGTGATGTCTGCAGAGATAGTGTGATACAGACAGTAACTGGCACAGACACTTGTACTGTTCTGTGGGTGTCTATAGCCAGACAGATAAAATTACTTTTGGAAACAGAAATTTGTAATTGCCTCCACATTCCACTATAATTTTACTGGAGTAGCTAACATTAAATTCGGCTTTTTACTGGAAGTGCAAGTTGGAAAGCAAACAGTGATTTTTTCTGAGCATCTCTGGTGTGTTCAACACTGCATGAGTAATCCTCATACTATAAAATACAGTTTGGATTTTTGGTCAGGCTTCACAGATGCTGCTTTTAAAGTTGAATAAGTCATATATCTGCCACTCTGAAGTGTTGCATTTTTTATAGCTTGGGTTATTTCTCTATTCTAAGAAACTTTGTTTTGGCATACCCATAATTTTCAGTATTGCATGTGGTTGTGGTTTTGCTCCAGCCTGGGAACAAAGCCTGGACTTTGCTATGAGTGGTTTACCACCAGCCTGACATCTGAAATCTTAACCTTCCCTGTGGCTAAAGAAACAGACAGAAGATCTCTACTCTGACCAGCAATTACAAATGAGACCTTTGCCGGATGTGATAATCAATAGGAGTGTGTGGGAGGAGGTAAGAGCAAGAGGTGAACATACAGCACTGGAGGCAAGGAACGCGATAGATCAGAACCTCAAACAAAATGCTGCTGTTGAAAATTACTTGTTGAACCACGCTCCTTTTTTTTCCCTTGAAAAAAATGCCTGTCTGCTTGGAAAAATACATGCCTGGACCCATTTAATTTTTCTTTAAACAGCTTTGTGTGTCTGCTCACATTGTATTGATTTTTCAAGCTGTTCTTAGCTCCCCTTCCTAGCTTCCCTACAAATGACCAGCTGTTAAGAGTTTGTTAACAAGGTGGGAGAGTTTTGTTAACAAGGTTTTCTAGTTTCCTCTTACTCCAAATGATCGTCCCTTCACCAAAGGAGACAGCCCACTTCCTGCTGCCGTTGACTTGCAGTCAGGAACATCCCCATAACCACTTCAGAGCTGTGATCTTGAAGTTAAACCTGCTCAGAGGTAGACCCATCTTGTTGCCTCCTTGTCCAAGTAACCAGATGGCCAAATGTCTCATGCCAGCAAACTGCTGCTCAGTTTTACCCCAGCCTTGGCCCAGAGGAGGCTGGAGAAAGGCTCAGCACTGTCCTTCGTATTGCATGCTCTTCTTGGCATGCCACTGCTTTTCTTAATGGGAAGAGCTGCCCCTCCCAGTACCATGGCCGTGAGGCCTCTGTAGGTTTGACCTGCCAAGGATCTTTTTAGTGAGAATTTTCATGGACAAGAGGCCACTGGGCTTGCAGAACCAAACGTCAGTGGGAAGGTGTGAATGACATGTGTTCACTGATGCTAGGTCTCCTTCTGGTGACTGAACTTTTTCTCTCCCAAAATGGAGACGGTCTCGTTCTGCACACAGGGTGTATAATGCTCCCCAAGAACCTGCTCAGTGGTATGATATTTGGCCTCAAGCGCCATTCAGAGTTCTGCTTGATGTATTAGCAGTTGCTTTTATCCTGGGCTTTTTGATGCTGCTTCTTACCTTGCTCTCAGTGGCCCTGAGCCCCACCACACTCTTGGTTCCCACCTGTCCTTATTCAAGCATTCACATCCTCATCAGCTTGTTGCTCATCATCACTATCACATCCCCATGCCTCCCACTCCTTTAGGTTAATCCTCCCACATGGCTCTTCCTTCCTTCTAGCACACTGTGTTTTTCTGTAGCCCGCGGGGTACTACCCTCCCTCCTGTCAGATCCCTGTGTTGTCTTCCAAGCCTAGTCTCCCTAGTCTGCAATCCCAACTTCCACTTTCATCTGCGTGTCCAATGTCCACCCTCTCCCTCAACCATGCCAGCTCCCAAGGGTGAAGGAATAGTTTCTCTCTCTGTTCACAGCTCTCGACTGTGGACGAGCACAGGGAGCGCGAACAGGGTGTGGCTGGGCTGGCTGCCTTTGCTCGGCCGCCCTTAGAGATGGATCCGCTGTTTGGCCCGAGGGCAGGGACGGCCGGCGCTTCGGGGCGCCGACTGGGGCGGTCGGGAGGCGGGGGCGCGGAGCCCAGCCGTGCCGTGCCGTGCCGTGCTCACACTCGGGGCGCGGCGGCGGTGGGCGCTGACGCACGGCGGGGCGGGCGCGGCGCTATAAAGGCGGCGGCGGCGGCGGCGGAGCGGCAGCACCATGGAGAGCTGCCGGGCGCTGGCGCTGTGCGCCGTGGCCGCCGCGCTGCTGCTCAGCGCCCGCGGACACGGAGCGGCCCCGCCGCGCCGCGCGCGCGACCTGGGCCCGCCCGGCGGCGGCGGCGCCTCCCGGGAGAAGGAGCTGGTGCGGCGGGAGCTGGGACGGGCGGGGGGCCCGCCGGGGCGGGCGCGGGGTGACGGCGGCTCTGTGGTCTCTCGGCAGATCGAGGCGCTGCAGGAGGTGCTGGAGAAGCTCAAGAGCAAGAGGGGACCGCACTACGAGAAGAAGTTCGGGCAGGTGCCCATGGTGGGTGTCCCGGCGGGACGGGTCGGGACGGCACCGGGAAGGGCATAAAAAGGAAGGGGAAGGGAGCAGAGCAGAACGAGGCGGGACGGGACGGAATGGTAAAGGAACGGGAAGGGACGGAATGGGGAGAGGACGGGCGACGGGACGGGACGGGACGGGACGGGACGGGACGGGACGGGACGGGACGGGACGGGAAGGGAAGGGAAGGGAAGGGAAGGGAAGGGAAGGGAAGGGAAGGGAAGGGAAGGGAAGGGAAGGGAAGGGAAGGGAAGGGAAGGGAAGGGAAGGGAAGGGAAGGGAAGGGAAGGGAAGGGAAGGGAAGGGAAGGGAAGGGAAGGGAAGGGAAGGGAAGGGAAGGGAAGGAAGGGAAGGGAAGGGAAGGGAAGGGAAGGGAAGGGAAGGGAAGGGAAGGGAAGGGAAGGGAAGGGAAGGGAAGAATAGGACTGTTCTAGACGGGACGGGACGACACGGGAGAGAATGGGACTAGGCTAGACGGCACGGGACTAGACGGGACAGGACGGGACAGGACTGGGCGGCCGCTGGTGGCGGTGCCACTCACCGCCGGCCGCTGCCCGCAGTGCGACGCCGGGGAGCAGTGCGCCGTGAGGAAGGGGGCTCGCATCGGGAAGCTCTGCGACTGCCCCCGGGGGACGTCGTGCAATTCCTTCCTCCTCAAGTGCCTGTAAGCAGAGGCGTCCCGGGACAAGCCGCCGGGAGCGCAGGCACAGACGTCTGGCTGCCCCGACGTGCCGGCGATTTCCCGCAGCTCCTCCGCCCGAGAAACGCAGCGAGAAGCGCCCGCATCGCCCGTGTAACGCCGTCCGTGACATCCGACATCCGTGGAGCTGTTTTCTTTCTCTCCCCTGCCCTGCCCCAACCCGTCCTCTCCCTCCCCTTCTCCCCTTGCTTTTGTCCGTCCAGAAAAATCCTGGGCCCCGTGCCGTGCCCCGGGACGGGCGGAAAACATCCACCCAGTGTCGGCTGGAGGAGCCGGGGCCAGGGTACTTCCCTGGGGTGGTTGAGGGTAGCAGGGCCAGGTGGGATGCAAGTGTGTCCAAAGCACTTTGGCCCCCTCTCCCTTGCCTCCCCGCTGAGAGGAGCCAGTTCGGCACACCCCGGAGCAAGCAGCCTGCAGCCCTCGGTGGGGTTCACCCGCACCACTGGCCTCAGGCCAAATCCAGCTGAGCTCACCCTGTGCTGTAGAAAATTCGGCATGAGACACTGATGGTGTGCAGGGGTTCCGGCACTAGCCTGGCTGGGGTGGGGCTGGGGGGAAATCAGTTGCTTTACCAGGGTCACCACGGAGAAAAATCTGTCTGGATTCATTGCAAACTACCTGGGGATATCCTACTCATGTTTCTACAATGAACTGATGTATATAAATATGTCTGTCCTCCACAGGTACACTGTGTATTTCAGCAAACTCATAATGTGTTTTAATCCTTTATTTGTCTCTATTAATAAAGTCAGTGTTCTGATGACAGTATTTTGGGTGTTTCAATTCACACATCAGAACCCTTAGCACTTAAAGGGAGAGGCTAAGGTTATCTCCAAAACTACTGTGCGTGTTACTGTGTGCTTTAGCCAGGCTATCAGCTAGGTAGGATAGGACTACAAACCAAGGTTCATGTGCTCTGGTGCTGCTCAGCTGATGTCTACTCCCTCCCCACAGGCACCCAGAGAACTGTGACAAATACAGAGGCTTAGGACCTCAGGTATTTCTTTGGGAGAGAACAGGGTGTATCTCGGCTGCAGGGACTTGTCTAGGGAGCCAGTGAATGGGGGGCAACTTACCATGAGCTGGATCATGTGTGTTACTTTGTGTTTGAGTCCCATAAACAATGGATGCCTGAAGGAACTTCCAGCCTCTCCTTTGTCACAATTCATCTGTGGGTGTCTTTGTGAGAACCTGCTCTTAATTCTATCAGCATGGAGATGAGGGGTTGCGTGGGCCAAGGCAGACACAGGGGAAAGATATACAAGGGAATTTCAGATTTCATGCTGAAGAGAGCACAAATTTAGGTGAGAAGCCCAGAGTTTTGTGAGAAAAAGGCTTCTGTAAGTCATTTGCTTTACTTCTAAACAGTAAGAGCATGTAAGCAATTCTGACTGAAACAAGTACAGAGAAGCTGACTTCAAAGAGACCTGCTACTGCTCAATTTGCTATCCGCATTACTACTACTATTATTGCTGGTATTGTAGTTGCTGGGGTTTATTGTTGTTATTAATTATTATTTTTCAGGACTGGAATGAGTTCTTCTTAACCTGGAGAGGACAAAATAAAGGGTAGCTGAAAACAGTCAGAGTGTTAAGGCTGTTTTAGCAGGTGGGGCCACAATGCTGAAGTATGCCATTCATGGACAAGGGAGTACTGGCCTGGGGGACTGTGCATGTGGGGGAGTCAGGAGTGGAGTGTTAAATTAAAGCAGGAGCCATGGTGCACTTAGTGGGAACACTGTTCAGGGAGGACTTGACAAAGAGAAGTGGGTATGTAGTGAGCTGGGCTAGAGTAGTCAGGAGTTACAGCCAGCTCTGCCTGCAACTTTTGTGACCATGGGTGAGTAATGCCTCTGTGTGATAGTGCATTTGCAGGGCTGGAGCCAAGTGTCAGGTTTTGTAAACTGGTAACTTGTTGTGGATGTTTTTTATAGTATTTCCCAGAGATATTGTAGAAATCCTTAATTTCTCAGGGAATTATGAAATCATTTTTGTAGCATCTCTGGTTCTCATACAAACAATAACAAGGACTTATATTTCAGTATTTTTTATACTCTGGCTGTCTGATGGTCCTGTCAGTATTTACTGTGTTACAGAGCACAGCTCATGAGTATCCATACAACTATATCCTTTAAATCTAGGTTTTTACTTATAGTAGCTAACAGACAGAATGGGTTTTATTGTGTGTATATGGGTATTTATAGCTTATATTTTAAATCCTGGATGTAAGCTAAGCCACCCAGCTTCACTCCTTGGCATTAGTTTCTGTCTGCATTTAATTTTTCCATACAGGATAATTTTCTTATGCTTCCCTCATCTGAAACATCCCCTTTTGCTACCTTATATGGTACAATGTTATTACTTCGGGATCATTCAGAGGTGAAACTGGATTATTAAGGGCTTTATTCTACTCAGCTTATGTGTTGATTTTATAGTTCTTGTTTTGCCAGATTATAGTGCTCAAAATTATAAGTGCAATTTACATAAAGATCAAAACCATAAATCTAGAATCTAATTTAAGGAATAAAGATTTTGGGATTACTTGCATGGTACTGACATTATGACAATACTCTCTGCAATGTTGTGTGCATTAACCTGAGGGCTCTTACCTTGTTGATTATACATGACCACTTACATGACATTACAGATATTTCTATTGTAGAGATTAAAAAAATAGGTCAGGAGAGAAACTTGTGCTGTAAGTCAGGACAGAATTGGCATTTGCATACTTTTCACTCCTGAAATCAATTACATGAAATGATACCAAGGTAGACCCCACATACAACGTATCCAAGACAAGAAACACAGATTTTGAGGGTTCATCTTGAATTTAGACATCAGAGAGAGCTATAAGAAATTCTGGGTTCAATAAATATGGTTCAGAATTAATGTGTTTACTGAGTATGAAGTAGACAAACCCAGCTGCTTCAAGTCCTATCATATTAGAAGTCAACAACAGTAAATCTGCTTGCCTCCTGTCAACTCCATCTGAAGAACAAATTTTTCTTTTTGTCTGAATATTCCCGCTAGAAAGAGATGTGAAAACTGTTCCTGACAGGCTGGTTGTCAGGTTATTTCTTTCTGTGTGGTGGGTTGACCAGCAGGTTCAGCCGGGCCCACAGCCCAGGGGATCAGTGCTGTGTGTCTGGGTGACTCACCAGTTTCAGAGGCTTCTGGCAGCTCCCAGGTACTTGGGTTTGTCTAAAACATTATCCCTGTTTTAAGCTACTCTGCACATGAAGATGGAAGCATAGCGAGACATCATGAAGAAGTCTAGCAAAAAGGTGTTAATTCAAGAAAGTGGTATATATAACTGCTATCTGAAATAAATAAAAATTAAATATCATGCTAGAAATCAAGGAATCCATGCAGAAACCCAAATGAAGAAGATAGCTGAACATAAGGCAACTGGACAAAGAGGCCTAGCCAGTCTGTCCAGTTTGTCTCTTCCTTGCTATCTGTGGGCTTTCCCCATGTCATACCTGCTAGCACAGTGTGATCCTCCTTCTTCTAGAGCAAACCTCTTCCCAGACACCACAAAGTCAAAACTCAAAGATAATCAACTTACAATAATTATCTGCAGCTAAGTCTTCTCCAGGAGGCTCTACATAATTCTTGGGCTTGGTGTTCCTGGTGGAGGCAGGCACTGTTCTGCATTAACCAGCATTTGGAAAATGTATGCCTATGGGTGGCAGCCCCTGGGTAACAGATTGCACAAGCATTGAGAGGAAAACTGAGGTTCACATCGGAAGTCACAGAGTTTGAGGTAACATTGCATGGATAAAATGTGTTTCACATATACTGGACATTTTCTCCTGAGGTGGATTTTGCTGTTTCTCAGATTCTGGGTGTTTTTTTGTTGTTGTGGTAGGTTTGCTATGTTCCCCCCTCTTTCCTCACCCCATTTCTTTCAGTACCTCCTTCTCTGAGTTAGCAGAGAAAATAGCTATGCACTAATCAACACTGATTGATAGAATATGTGGATGTTCTCAAATGTTCAACTTTTTTGTAACTTGTATAGAAGTACATGACATTGCATCCAGCCAGTTGCTCTTCCTTGCAGGGTTTCAGTTTAACAAAAGTAGTGGAGACTTTATGCCTCTCTGTTGGTGGTGGCTCCACCACAGATTGGAGCTGGGCAAAAATGGAGCCAGCAGAAGAACAAGAGGTGGCAGTGTTGTAATGGAATGACATTCTCAGCATGCAGCTGTCTCTCATCTAAATGAGTGTGTTAGCTTAACAGTGATGAACAAGATTTTGGGGAACGGATGACTGTTTTTTAATTTTTTTTTTTTTAATTACAATACAGCAATCTGGAACACACCACCATACCTTGCCTGTCTAGAGAATCTGTGACCTCTTACAACTCCCAGCAAGTCACCCTTCAGATCTAGGTCTCTAGGAAATGTGGTAACAACTCTTGCTGGGAAGGGAGGCTGCACAGAAAGAGACTAAGGAACCTGAGCAGCCTTCCTTCACCACCTCCCCCAGATCCCTCATCCCGTCTGTGTGAGCCCTTTTTCAGCTCAGATCTGGGCCTTCAGATTTTGGCAAGATTGTGCAGAAGGTGTGTGGGACCTACCTGGAGCTCTTCCACACAGTCTGTCTGCAGTAGCAACCATAATGAGATGGAAAATGGAAATGAAAATATAAATACTGATTAAGCATTCAAGGGTGGCCCTTTTAATTCCTCCCAAGTAAATGGCAAATACTCTTTTGTATGCAGTAATTGACTTGATTGCAACTTGGAGATCCTGCCTGTTTTGCCCAGGAGGCAGACAGTATTCTCACTTGCAAGCACTACTGTAATAGAATGACCACAACCACACAGGAGCCAGACTTTGTCCCAGTCTTCCAGTCTCCTGTGATTGTCTTGTGGGATCCTACAGGATTCACAGAAATTATCACACCAATGCAAAGAACCAGCTGTTGGGTTCCAGCTGTGAACCACAAATTACATTTCAGGGTCTGGCACAGAGAGTGGATGATGGTGAGGGCTCCTTTCTATGCCTGGGAAGACTGTGCTAAGGCACACAGAGAACAGGGAGATGATTTGAAACAGCCAGCACAGCTTCACCAAGGGCAAGTCCTGCCTGGCCAACCCAGTGGCCTTCTGTGGTGGAGTGACAATATATCTATCTGGACTTCTATAAGGCCTTTGACACGGTCCTCCACCACATTCTCCTCTCTAAATTGGAGAGAGATGGATTGGATGGGTGAACTGCTTGGTGGATGAGTAATTGACCACATGGTCACATCCAGAGGGTAGTAGTCAACTGCCCAATGTCCAGATGGACATCAGTGAGAAGCAGTGTCCCGCAGTGGTCTGTATTTGGATCAGTACTGTTAAAAGTCTTCAACAAGGACACAGACAATGGCATTAAGTGGAGGTTTGCAGACATCAAGCTGAGTGGTGCAGCTGACATTCCTAAAGGACTGGATGCTGTCCAGAGGGGTCTGGGCAAGCTCAAGAAGGGAACAGAAATCGAATGAGATTTTTAACAAGACCAAGTTGAAGGTGCTGAACCTGGGTCAGGACAACCCCCAGTATCAGCACAGGTTGGGCATGAACAGATCAAGAGCAGCCCTGTGAGCAGGACTGGGGGGTGCTGGTGGGTGGGAGGCTGGACATGACCCAGCCATGGGCACTCCCAGCCCAGAGAGCCAAACGTGTCCTGGGCTGCATCCAAAGCAGTGTGGGCAGCAGGGGAGGGAGGGGATTCTGCCCCTCTGCTCTGCTCTGATGAGAGCCCATCTGGAACCCTGCACCCAGCTCTGGGATCCCAGCACAGGAAGGTCATGGACCTGCTGGAGTAGGTTCAGAGGATGGCTATAGAAATGATCAGAGGAGTGGAAAACTTCACCTGTGAGGAAAGACTGAGACAGTTGGGATGTTCAGGGAACAGAAGGCTACAGGAAGATCTTTCTGCAGTCTTTCAATACTCACAGGGGGCTTTTCATAAAGATGGGCGCCGCTCTTGGCAGGGCGTGCTATAATATGACAGAAGGCAGTGTTTTTAAACTGAAAGAGGGTAAATTTAATTTCCATATAAGGAAGTAATTTTATTATGACAGTGGCATAAAAAGGGCACAGGTGTCTCAGAGATGTAGCAAGTACCCCAGTCTGGAAATACTCGCGGTCAGGCTGGACAGGGCTCTGCAACATGATCTAGTTGAAGTCCCTGCTCATTGCAGGGAGGTATTGGACCAGATGGCCTCTAAAAGTCCCTTCCACCACAAAGGATTTATTCTATGACTCTATAAAGAAGACACATCATACCCTACCATTCTTCACAATAGACTTATTAACTCTAGTTAGTGGTCATGTGCTGATTTTCTCCCTTATGAAGCTGGAGCTCTAGGATGTCTGTTTGCACTGATCTGGCTAAAGTACATTTCCACTGACTAACCTTCCAGACCATTTAGAATTCATTAATGACATGCAATTTGCAGGTGTCTCAGCACATGCCACAGCATACGTCACAGTTGAGATGGCCACGATACACAGAGTATCACCATGCAATTTCAGGAGGCTTTAAGCATCTGCCCATACAGAATAACATCATATCACTGCAGAAGGCTGCAATCAGCTGGTCTTCTCAGTCTTTAGCCCAACCTTTTATACTCCTCATGTCCATGCATTGCACTTGTGTGCTTTTTGTTCCCTTTGATGATCCATCAGTGCAGCTGGGCACTCATTGCTTTCAACGCTGCTCACCTGCTTCTCACAGCTGTAGTCCACTGGGGATGAGGCTCAGCCACAGTCCCATTCCCAACTACCCCAAACTGTGTACCCACATTCAGGTACATTCTTCCCTGTTGTATCAGCTAGAAATTTATCTGCCGAAGAACTCTGTAGAGCAATCATACATTTGTTCACCTCTTTTTTTAATAGCCTGTCAGGGTTTTTTTCTTTTCTGTCCTTGTTACATGTGGAATTCTTTCCCATTGAGTTGCTAGGAAACACTGATGGCTGGGTGTTTGAGACGGTACTCTGGTTTTTGGGAGTTTCTCTCAGGGGGAAGCGAGAGGGGGCGGGGGGGGGGGCGGATAGGAGGGACAGAGATACCGCAAGAACAGAGGCAGGAAAAAAATGGGGTTGGGGAGTTGCGGATTCTCTCTCACTGGGCTTTGAAGGAGGACGGTCGGACTTGCGGCTTCGGGAAAGGAATTTGCTGCCATCACCATACCCCAGCCAGGAGCTGCTTTTCTTCTGCCGCTGGGTCGCGCACCCTCCTCTGCCCAGGCATCCCGCAGGTTCCACCTATTGCTGTGGAGTTTCTGATACATCTTGTCCACCACCGCTGGGTTTCTGTTCATCCCTGCCGTCCCAGCTCGGTGCTCCCAAGTGCTGCTCGGCACCAGGACCGGCCGCCCCAGGCTGGTGAGGCGCAGCCGCTCCTCCATCCCCGCCCGCCCGGGCCCGGCCGCCATCGCCGCGCGCTGCCCGAGCCCGCCCACAGCGCCCCCGCGGCCGCGGGGAGTCCCCGCGCCTGCCCCGCCCGCCGGGAGCAGCGCCCCTGCCGGCCGCGCCCGGAACTGCAGCACAGGGGAGCGCGCAGGGCCGAGGCGGCCGCGGACGGGTGCGGGTCCGGGTCCGCGTCCGGGTGCGGTTCGGGTCCGGGTCCGGGTCCGGGTCCGGGTCCGGGTCCGGGTCCGGGTCCGGGTGCGGGTCCGGGTCCGGGTCCGGGTCCGGGTCCGGGTCCGGGTGCGGGTCCGGGTCCGCGTCCGGGTGCGGTGCGGGTCCGGGTCCGGGTCCGGGTCCGGGTCCGGGTGCGGGTCCGGGTGCGGGTCCGGGTCCGGGTCCGGGTCCGGGTGCGGGTGCGGGTCCGGGTCCGGGTCCGGGTGCGGGTCCGGGTGCGGGTCCGGGTCCGGGTCCGGGTCCGGGTGCGGGTGCGGGTGCGGGTCCGGGTCCGGGTCCGGGTCCGGGTCCGGGTCCGGGTCCGGGTCCGGGTCCGGGTCCGGGTGCGGGTCCGGGTGCGGGTGCGGGTCCGGGTCCGGGGCCGGGGCCGGGTCCGGGGCCGGGTCCGGGTCCGAGTGCGGGTCCGGGTGCGGGTCCGGGTGCGGATGCGGGTCCGGGTCCGGGTCCGGGTCCGGGTCCGGGTCCGGGTCTGGGTCCGGGTCCGGGTCCGGGTCCGAGTGCGGGTCCGGGTGCGGGTCCGGGTGCGGGTGCGGGTCCGGGTCCGGGTCCGGGTCCGGGCCCCGACTGGCGTTAACGCAATGCTGGTGTTTGTTTGCTTTGTCACACACACTAGCAATGAACTGCTATTCCTAGTCTCATGTCCTTTTGCCTGAGGGCCCCTTAACTTCAAACTTATAATACTTCAGAGGGAAGGGCTTTACATTCTCCATTCCAAGGGAGGCTCCTGTCTTCCTTAGGAGACGCCTGTCTTTCAAACAGAAGCAGATTTTGTTGCCCAAGTGTGGGGCACAAGATCATTGAGAGAAAAAGGGTGAAAAAAAGGAATAACGGTTCTTGAGAAACCTATTAATTTTTTATTTTTTGTGTGCTGGATATAGAAACTTCATTAAGTGTCACTATGTGGTCTAACTTACCCTGGTTTGGGTGGCACATGGTCATGGCTATACTTCTCCTGTTTGCAGGCCCTTATGTAAACATGTGTCCTATAATTAGAACTACTGTGGCTGTTATCCAGTTTAGAGGTTAGTAAGTGAGGAATTAATGGATTTTTAACTTCCTTTGGAAGCCAGGCACATGAATTCACAGCTATCACACACTACCTGTACACATTAAACTCTGCAGCTATTAAGTAGTTTCTACAGAGAACTGTATGCAAACTATATGCAATTCTGAGTTTCTGTACAAAGTACTCCAAACAGGAAAACCACATAAACAAGAATAGACTTCAGGGACAATTTAGTGCCTGGAGAACTGATCCACTTGGTGGTTGCATCAGTTGTTCTTTTATTTAGATACCAGTATTGTACCCTAGCCAAACTACGTATTTGTTCTGATTTGGAATTTCTTATACCATTTCATTGCTATTACACTATTTATAGGGCTATTTCTAGCTCACAAATCCTTAACTGACTAAAGCATGGGAGATCTGAAGAGCCGTAGGAAACTTCCTGGCTTCTGTTGAAGACATTGTGTAAACTCTATTTTGAGAAGCTTCGTGGTAGCTCAAAAGAAAAACTTGGGGCAGAAGTTATTCAGATTATTTGTTATCAGAATATTTCTAATGGTGTTTGAGAAAATTAAGGTACATAAAGCCGTGCTAGTTACTGCTTTCCTGTCTAGGCAATAGCCAGTAGCTATTGGAGAAACATAAGACTTCAGGCTCCTGCTGTTATGTCAGGTTTGGGGCTGTGGAAGGTGCTCTAGGAGGAAGCTCCGGGGTCATCCGGAGTTACTTGGCACGGGATTTGGCCTCTGGTCGCTCTGAACACAAGAGGGTGCTGGTTACTGCGTGGAGACTTTCCCTTAGGAAATAGCTTTTTTTTCCTTCGGTTCTAGAATGGAAAAGAGAGGGAAGTGTGCTGCCCTGAAGACCCATATACCATGTACTGAAGAGTCACCAGTATGCATGAAATCACAATTATTCAAGTAAACTTCCTTAACAGTATTGATATTACAGATATTTATTGTTTGCATCCTTCTTCATCCATCCTTTACTCTTCCTGAAGTCAAAGAAAGTAGTATTAAAAAAGGATGCAACCTTATGCTATCATTTCAGCAGGTCTGGGTACATGGATAAAGCAACTGTGTAGCTCTCCCACACGAGGATTTAGCAAGGTTACCCCTGGGCTCAGAAGGCATGCTGCACTGGAGACTTTTCATGCCACACACATTCTGGATGGGCTTTTTTAGTCAATTTTGACTTGTTTATGGCTCCATTATGAGAATATGCTTATCCAAACACTGTTAAACATATAGACAGATTAGTTCTTAGACCATGTTCTACAAATTCAGCAGAAGATGGAAGCAGAGAAGCGTGTACAGTGTTCCTTGGGATATTGCAGGAAAACAGTTTAGCTGTTGGTAGAGAAATTATCATATTAGTTTGCTGGATTATATATACTGTGCCTGGAATTGGGATATCTGCATAAATGAGTGGCCAGGAGCCCAGTTTTTTTCTGTAAATCTGGTACATTGCCTGAGGAGATACCACTTGAATTAAAATTAGTTGAGATACATACCTGGAGAAGAACAAGAGACATTTGAAGACAGACATGAGAAGTTTTCTATGCCTTGATTTAAAGTATCTTATGAATGTTGAGAATTTATTAACCAGGTTCTTGACTGTAAGACAGGGGTTTAAGAAACATGGAATTTATTCAGAGAAATTGTATTTTTGGTTGCGGATAGTGGGGTTTGTGCTGTTTAAGAAAGACACCTATTCATGCTTGTGGGGTTTTTTTTTGTGTTTATGGTGGTTCAGGAGAGGCTGATGCTGAGGTGGGACAGATAATCCAAAAATGACATGGTGCTCTGTTAATTTTAAAATACCTTAAGTAGATTCTTAACAATGTATTTCAGAATTGCTATTGCGGGCACACACACTTACCTACCTATGAATCAACCAATAAATCTCTCTGTATGCACACAGGTCAGCAGAAGATGTAAGCAAGTTTCATCATGTGATGGAAAAGGAGGAAAGAGCTTTGCAATAGTTTTCCTTTTGTATATGCCAACTTTTATCCAGTCTCTTCTTGTTCTTGAGCAAGCAGAACTACTCTTTTAGTACCATTATTAACTTGTATCATCTTCCTTAAGTAAGCCTAACTTTTTCTCCTTGGAATGGCAATAAGTAAACTGTTTCATTCAATTTCCAATTCAATTACGTCCCTTTTCTGTTTTCTTACTCTGCAGTCAGGCCATTACTTCTGCATTGGAAAACTTTTTAGCTCTGAAAGAATACGAATGCGGCAGTAAATACAAACAGTGAGCTCCTGCAACTTAAATAGGTACCTCATCTTAATAATGATTTAATAGGGTAGAAACCAGCTAACCAAAAAAAATGCTATTTACCCCTGAATTACAGAGCTGCCAGACACCTTGAATGGAACTGCCTCTAAGTACATCCAAAATACTTAATGCCAGAGACATTTGTCAATGGAGCTATCAAAAATTGAGTATTCATCAAGTAGTAGCTTGAACATACTCTTGGAAAACAATCTAAGAAATTACCTGATTATGAAAGACAATATTTTAAGGAATTTTTACCAGCAGTCAATTTAGATTAAGATTCTTTTTTTGAATTGAGATGTAGCTTCATCTTTTTGTGTCTATCCTTCCAATTTAATTCTTTATGGCAGATCAGCAAAGTCTTTGTCATTTACTGAAAAAAAATCCAAAGTAAGAAGTAAACAATGCTGCTGCTGAACAGCTTTCAATACAGTGTATCATCTGAGGACTACTTCTTGTTTTGACTTATGCACTGTGAGTGAACAGTTATAATCTCCCTCTAGAAGAGATGTTTTGCATCTGGCCTGAATGAGGATAGGCCTTTGTATTCCAGAAGAGTCCTGACTGCTACTCTCCAGACAAGTCAACACACTGAAACAAGCAGTTTGTTTTTACTTGTGCTATGATCACATAAATATGATACAAGAGAAACCTTCTTTCTGTGCTTTTTCTTGCCTCACAGCATGTCTCAATTGTGTTAGCAATTATCAGGTAGCAGGGCAGAGTAAAGTCAGTGGTATACAGAACATGTAGTCACGTGAAATCAGATAGAGATTCTAAGTACCAGATCCAGAGTAGAGGATAATGGAATCACTGGAAAAAATCAAGTCTCTTTACTTCCTCTTTTACAGATGATGCTTTATGTTACTAGTTTTCAGTTACCTTTGTCTCTCCTGCTTTCCCTCTCCCCAGTTCATGGTATTTTTTTATTTTGGACATGTGTTATATTCACAGTATATTTCCACGGTCACAGGAGCTAAGTTGGCCAACTGCTGTTGAATGTTGATGACTAATGAAGAACATTCACTGGGCTGCCTGGCAGAGTGCTTATGTATTTCATTGCCCAGCTCTCTCCTGGACTAATTATCTTCTTTTTTTATCAGCACAAAAAGGCCTCCAAGTTCCCACTACTCCTGTGTCACAAAGCAGGAGCAGAGAATGTAACTGCTAGTGTTAGGATGGTAAGTGTAGCACAATAACTGAGCATTGTTAAGGATTGAAGTTCATCAAAGATGTTCTAAACCAGACCTTGCTAACAATGAACTCAATTCCATGTATCCTCATCCTAAACAAAGATGGAACAATAGTTGTGCTGACACCAGCAAGGTCAGAATATCACCCCAGGCCCTTGCCTTTCCCTTCCATGTAATTCTGCCCAGTCTTGTATTTGGCAAGAAAGTTATGGATAATTTTCCTTGCTCTTGTTCAGCTCTTTCCTGCACCATTTATCATTCTTCTCAACATATCAGATCACTTTTAACATAAATTTTAAGTTTATAAGCACGAAATAAGTAAATCAATTGCAGTTTACTTGAAGTGCACCTATTGAGTATGCTTCTTATAATGTAGTAGACTGTTTACATTCTAGATTATCTAGACTATCATAGACATAGTTTTCCTAAAACACAGTTGTTTCCTACAGAAATATTAAGATTTTGCCATAACTTCTGTCTCATCATAGAATATGCTTATGCTATGTAGTTTGTTGAGAATAAGGCCCAATACTGTTTAGGGTCTACATGCATGCTACTAAAACATGGGCCTATGCAATGAAGATGTTAAAAAAGAAATTTCTTCACTCTAGGCTCCTCACAGCAGAGCTTCTGTCATCCAGCTGCAGGAAAAAATAACCAAATAATTGAATGGTACAATAATAGGCCAGCTAGAGCCCGGTTAATCTATTGAGGGACCCCGTACCAAGATCCATGGGCCTTAATTGCCTCAGAATTCATGCATTTGTTCCTCGTGTGCCCTGCATGTGCCTCTTAGTGCAATGGCAACTTTTGGTCTGGGACATCCTAACGCTTATAGGATTCTTTTCCTATGACCCCACAGACAGATCAGTAACTGTTCTTATCTTTTTGTGACTCAGCTTTTGCTGAGGTGTGCAGCCTCCTCATCTTCTGTTTTGTGCTTCTGATGCATTACTTTAGTTGGTAGAAGATGGAAAATTCAGAAGCCCTTGGCTTAAAGTAAGGATTGCTAGGAAATTACTTAAATACTGGTTTGTAATCAACATTATTCTCACTGTACATGCTAGTAGGAAAATTACTAAGAAATTATTCTAGCCAGAAACATCTCTAGATGAAAGTTTGCAACTACAGGCAAACAACTTCAGAAAATTCAGCTACTCCTGCTAAAGTAAGTAAATTCAAGGCAAACAACATCCTATATCACACTGTGTTGTAACTCTAAGTGCCTTATTCTTACTTAAAACTTGCTTATTAAGCCAAACATTATCTGTCCACAAGGACCAGTCCATAATCATTGTTTTCCAATATCAAATCTCTGTCTCTATTTTTCTTTTATTCATTTTAACAGGTTAAGCATCTTCTCACCATTATTTTCTTTTCAGAAAACTAAGTAATATTTATTTTGCTTATTAGAACAGTAGCACAAAGTCCACTATCACAGGCAAGGTGCTCAAATAAGGAGACAGTACTTGTTTGAGAGCAAGAAGTCACCTTGCCACAAGAAAGATGGCAGCTGCTCTGTGGATTTGTGGTAGGTTTGGCACAATAAAGGAGCTGAATTTTTAGTTCTGTCTCTATCCTGCTTTTAAAACAAAGGTAAAATGCTTTAGCCTTCAGACCTTGTTATTTAAATATCAAATTAATTTCAACATTGATCAGGAGAGGAACATTCTCTATGTTTGTTAGAATGATGGAATTTTATACAACTATATTTGGTGTGCTATCCATGTTTGTCATAATGAGTGCATTAAAATACTAAAATGAGTTATATACAATAAACATATATATATATAAAAGTTTAAGCATCACTTGAAAGATTTCCCACTACAGATACATATATGGATTAAGTGTAGAGGCTATAAAAAACCTGAATTTTACGTAGCTGAAAGTAGTAAGAACAGTTGATTATAATAATTTTGTTATGGTGGGTGCAGATAGTAACCCAAAGTTAGGTTTGGCAATGACATAGCCTAATCATAACAAACTACCTTTTTTTTTTTTTTCATATACAGATCAAATGCAGTACTTCAGTGACAAGAATGAGTTAGAAGTGTAAAAGGACTACTTTTATGTGTACTTTCATAGATTTTGTGTACGCAATATGGAATCTAGTTCTGCTTCATTATGTTTTTTTAAGTAGCACCACTGCTTGTGATCCAGCCTCTAATTTTATATTCTCAAAGCAAAATTCTAGTTGTGTGAAGTTACACCTTATAAGTAAAGTAAATAAGTAAATAAATGATGGAATTGCTACATAGAATTTCTATTTTTCATGGGGCTCCCCGTTCAGTAATCATGAGACCTTGTAGATCAAGTTGTACTGTTTTATTTTTCATAATTAAGTATTGAAAAGAGCAGCTGCATGAAATGCAGCTACAACATTTAATTAACGGATGAGTGTTCATTTTATGACTACCAGTGTCTTACGAATACCACTGTATTCTCATTTCCCAACACCTTGTACTAGATGGCTGTTAACAGAAAAGTAAATGAAAAGTACACAGGGATGGAGAATACAATCAGAAAAGGGGAAAATTATGTAAACAGAAATACTCATATACAGACAACTCATAATCTCTCTGCAAATGTGTAGAGGTTGGACAGAAAAACCACTCAATTCTTGTCCTGTCCCCCGATGGCCTTCTCAAGCCCCTTTCTTTCTGCATCTCCACACTAACTTTTTCAGAGCACATTAAGCTGTTTGTTGTTTGAGTAATAAAAATACCCAAGTCAAATTCTGTCCCTCCTTTGGTTGTTAGGTAACTAATAAATACTTGCCTCATTGATTCAAAAGCAGAGCCCAAAAAATGACAGTTCAAGTTATCTATAAAGACTAAAACTGTTCCAAATGCCCATTACAATGTATAACTTCCCTCTGCCGCAAACAGACAGGAAAGATGACAATATGTTGGCATAGCAGGTTTTTAGATCAACAGCTATGCCAACATCTTGCCTCCTCTCCAGCTCTGCATAAAGGAATTTCTTAGAAAGGTGTCTGTGGGAATTGTACAACCTTTAACTGTGATTTGTTTGATCTAAAATAGAAATCCGAAATTTATGTAAAAGCTTCACATTGTTATGTAAAACATTTGAATATCAGTCTCACCGTAAAATGTACAGTAATCCTAATGTGAGTGGATTTTTACTCCTTAGGCTATGAGGTCTAAAAAAATCTCTGACAGAAGCCAAGTTTGTAGCTCTGTGTCTATAACAGCTGCAGAGCAGAGACAGTGTTTCTGTATTCAGGACATTTCTTACCAAAGCATCAATAAAACCCATGAGAGAGAGTGGATGATCTAGATCTGTATCTTATGCACTGGAGTGGAATCATATTCTCAAGTGACTTAATTTTAAACTAATTTTGTTTAGTTTCTCTTTTTTTTTTTTTTTTTTCCACATTCACATAAACAAGAGATTACAAAGAAGAGATTTAAACACACACATTTGCTGTTATAAAAAAATCGTTCTTTCTTAGAAATCACACTGCCACCTTCTTGTAATCTATTTCCATTTTCACAAACATTTGCAGAGAGTATTTTTGGGTACAGTGGATTTGCCAAGGAAATGTGATAGTCATTATGAAACTGGAGACAGACTGCTCCAATTTACCTTGCCCACAGTGCACACTTCCACTGTTTAATGGTTGTTTGGTGTTTTCTTTTCACTTATTTTAATCAAACGAGGAGAGATATTTTAATTTATTTCTCTAATCATGCACCTTGTTCTATAACGCAGTCAGAATGGCAAGAGTGAAATGTAAGAGTCTAATAAGTGTAAAGAGAGTTGATAACTATATGGAGCACATTGACTAGGTCAATCATTCACAACACCAAACATGTGCTTTACTGAACAGATGATGTTGTCAGCTATAGTTGCCAAATGTACCTTTGATTTTCATTGCCAAACTCTATATTCAAATCTGACACCTTGAGCTCATATCAGTATTGTGGAGTTTTGGTAGTTTTGGGTTTCTTTCCCTCCAGATTTTTAAAAATGAGGAGAAAAGCAAGGAAAAGTTGTTTACATTTGTTACAACATTAACATAAGGGCATTCATTGTCACCAGACACTCTGGTATTTTAAAATTTTGTAGGTAATCTTCAAAGAAGCTGGGGTTCAGTAAAACCTTTCAAAGCTGAGGTTGCACAATGAAGCTTCCTTGAGGTGTTACCTTGCTATCAATGATCAAGCCACTTCAGAATATACAACCTAGAACCCTCCAAAAAATGGAGTGAACATAGAAAAGCACATTTTTCCATATTACATAAATAGAATAGAAAACATTCTGAAGCCATGCACTTAATCACGTTTTAAAATACCACAAGAGAGCATATTTTGTTATCCTTGTTAACACTTGTGTCTTCAATTAACTTTACAACTAGCACGTGAGCTGTCTTACACAAATAAAACCTGTTTCTCACCAAATACTCTGATCTAAGAAAACTGCCAAGTTAAAGGCATGTGAGTGACACAACATTTCAAAGAGTCCCTTTGGAATTATATTTAAGGAAAAGTTCTTAAATCTACCTTTTGGGAATACTATCAGTGAATTCCATTAGAATTTTCCATTTAGGTATCTCAGGATGGGAAAAAGTCCTAATTCTTCAAAATGGAAAGTAAATTGTGAATTTCAAATGCTTATTACATAAAAATTCAAGAATGTACAGAAAAAACATATTTACTTGCTGTTTTGTGTTTGCTAAACCTTTCTTTCTGCCTTTAGAATTTAATTTATAAATATATATGAAGCTTGTACATTCATATATAACTTTTCTTTACCATTATCTTACAAATCTCTTATAAGTCAGTGTGGTTATTTTAAAACTTTGGCAATAATCTCTGAATTTGCTTAAGATAACTTTTCCAATATTTTTCTTCTGAACTGAAAACTGCTTATATTTGGGATCATATTCTGTAGAATGTTTGCATGTACATGTACTCACATCAGTAGAGGGTTTTTATACTCTGATATGACATAAAATAAACAAGATTTAAATTAAAAAGCTGTGTCAGCAGACAAGATCAGGGCGTGTTAGCGTCGATTCTCTCTGACCTGCCAATCTGATGTCTCATACAATCACTTCTGTCCTAACAAAGCCTATTTTTTTGGAGGGCAGTGTGTGAAATGCAGCTTGGTCTGGACTTAGGCCAAGGGAGGCATTATTTCAAAGCTGCATATCCTGGTTGTGCTACTAATCCAAAGAGTCTGGATTTGGCATGCTGTGATGACCTAAAATCTAATCAGCTCAAACACAGGCAAGACTATGCTTTGTAGCAGTAACTGGCTGCAGCTGAAAATTAACATCCCATTTTACAAATCCATCATTGAAACTGAGAGAGTGATGTGTAGAGCTTGCAGAACTACCATGAGGAACTTGCAGCACAAAATTCTGACTATCTGCTGATGAAGTACCTTCAGTGCCACAGCTCATTTCAGACTAAGTTTACTGTGAAAGGAAAAAAGGTTAAAGTTTACTGTGAAAGTAAGAAAAATTAATATAATTAATACTTTTTAGTATTTTCTAGATTTTTTCACAGACCCTACTAGCTAAAAAACCAACAGGTTAAGTATCTGGCAATACATCAAATGCTACCAAACACACAAAGCAAACCAGCTGTTGAAAGAACCATTTTCTGACCAAGGAAAAGCACATGATAATGATAAAACCAGAGGTGGGATAGAGCATTTTTCTAAATAACTTGCCAACTTCATCTGTTCTCCCTGCTAAAAAGTTCAGTAGTAGAGCACAACTTATCTTCATCCAGGTCAGAATATGAAAGGGGAAGGCAAGGAGACTACAGGCTTATTCATTTGATGCACTAAAGCATCTTCCACTCTCAGACTGCTCTTCATGACTTCCAAACATGCTGCAACAGGGGAGCAGGGAAGAAAGACAGCAAAAGAAAACATAACAGACAGAGAAGGAAGGGTGGTGATAACACAGGAGAATGGAAGCTTGCAACAGCAAGGACCTGCAGAAAGAAAAGCCTGAGATGCCCTTGCAGAATCACTTCAACACTGTGCAGACAGAGAAGAAAGACCTGCCAGATCAGGAGAAGCACCAGGCTTGAGTAAGGCAGCCCCATCTGGTCCCACATCACAGCCAACACAACTAAGGCAATGGGTGATAGCAGTAGGTGACTTCTCAGAAGTTCAGAGGTACTGAGAGACTTGACACACTCTCTAGAGAGATGCTGCTTACTGGGGAGTTGTAGCAGTCTACTGATAGGCAACTGAGCCTTGTACAGTCCACTGATTGTAACACACTGCTGTTGTTTCACATGATACAGCAAAAGTGACACAGCCAGGAGGAGGCTCAAGAGCCCTGGCTGTGACAGTAAGGGATTCTGAAGGGCACATAGATTTTTCATCAATCCTCCTGGTCAAAAGGAAGGTGTTTGAAAGGGCCAGTGGAATCAGATTCAATCTAAAGGCAGGGCAGGGACAGGTGACATTATAGCAGGGGCCCAATACAGGCTGCCTGACCAGGAACACTGAGCAGATGAGTCCCTCTGAAGAAAGATAAGAGCAGCCTCACATTCACAAGCCCTGGTCCCCACAGGAGACTTGAACCATCTCAACAGCTGTTGGACATAAGCAATCCAGGAGGTTCCTGGAATGCATTGATGATAACTTCCTTCTCCAAGTGACAGAATAACCAGCAGGGAAAAGTGCTATCCTGGACCTTGTTCTCACCAATAAGGAATGGTTGGTGTGGAATGGGAAGCTCCAGGACAGCCTTGGCTGCAGTGGCCATGAAGTGGTGAACTTCAAGATCCTTAGGCCACAAGGAAGGGGCAGAACAAGCTCACTGCCCTCAACTTCGGGACAGCAGATTTTTCCCTCCTGAAGGATCTGTTTAATAGAGTACTAAGGCATAAAATTCTGGAAGGAAGACAGAAAGCTTGTTAATACCCAAGATTCACCTCCTCGAGACTCAGGAGTGATCCCAACAAAGATCATGTCAGACAAAATTGCCAGGAGGCCTGTATGGATGAGCAAAGAGCACTTAGACGAACTCAAACACAAAAAGAAAGCCTAAAGAGCTTAGAAAGAAGGAGAGACAGACTCTGAGGAACAGAGAGAGATTGTTCAAGCAGACAGATTGTATGACTGTATGAAAACTAAATCCCTGATAGAATTAAATCTGGCCAGTATTTAAAGGGATGCCAAAACCAGCAAGAAAATTTTCTGTAGGTACATCAATGACAAAAGGAAGACTAAGGCAAATATGGCTCCTCTTCAGACAGAAACAGAAGACCTGACTACCCAGAACATAGAGAAAGCTGAGATAATCACTTTTTTTGCCTCAGTTTTACCAGCGAGTGCTCCAGCCAAGTTGCACAAGGTAAAGGCAGGGACTGGGATGAATGAAGAACAAATCCCTGTGGAGAGGGTCTGATTTCAAACCATCTAAGGAAACTGAAGGTGAAAAAGTCCATGGGACATGGTGAGATGCAACCGAGGGACCTGGCAGATGACAGGCCAACTGTCCATCCAATTAGAAAAGCTGTGACAATCTAAAGAAATTCCCACTAAACCAAAAAACATGAAACCCATTTTTAAAAGGGGAGGAAAGAAGGAAGGCCTGGTGGACTGCACGCCAGTCAGTCTCACCTCTGTGTCTGGCAAGATCATGGAATAGATTCTCCTGGAAATTGTGCAAAGGCAGTGGAAAATAAAAAGGGAATTAATGACAAACCACATGGCTTCACTAAAGACAAACTGTGACTGGTAAATTTGGTGTCCTTCTATAGTGGGGTTACAGCAGTGGTGGACAAGGGAAGGGCAACAGACATTACCTGCCTGAACTTATTCAAAACATTTGACACTGTCACACATGGCATTTTAGTCATTTCTTTAGTAATTTTTTAGTCATGGCATTAAAATTGGGGAGATATGGATTCATTAGATAGATGGACCACTCAGTCTTTAAGGAATTGGATGGTTGCACTCAAAGTGCTGTGTTCAATGTCCTAATGGAGACCAGTGACAAGTGCTGTCCCTCAGGGGTCAGTACAAGGAGTGGTGCTGTTCAAGATTTGTCAGTGACATGGACAGTGGGATCAAGGGCACTCTCAGCAAGTTTGCCACTGACACCATGCTGTCTGGGGCAGCCAATGTGTTGCAGAGAAGGAATGCCATCCAGAGGGGCCTGGACAGGCTGGAGAGGTGGGGATGTGCAAACCCCATGAAGTTGAACAAGACCAAGTGAAAGGTCCTGTACCTGAGCCAGGGCAATCCCAAGCATAAATGCAGGCTAGGGAGAGAAGAGTTTGGGAGCAGCCTTGGAGGGAAACACTTGGGGGTGTTGGTGTACAAGAAGCTGGACATGATCTGTCAATGTGCGCTCACAGTTCAGAAGCCTAAGCATGTCTTGGTCTGCATCAAAAGCAGCATGGGCAGCAGGGGAGGGAGGGGATTCCATCCCTCTAGTTTGCTCTGGTGAGATCCCATCAGGATTATTGAGTCCAGTTATGGGGTCCCCAACATAAAAATAATGCGGACTTGCTGGAGAGAGTCCAGTGAAGTGCTAGAAATATTAAAGGGCTGGAACACCTCTCCTATAAAAATAGGCTGAGAGAGTTGGTGTTGTTCAGCTTGGAGAGAATGCTGTTCTGAGGAGACCTTATAGAAGCCTTCCTGGAGAGGGACTTTTGAAAAGGGTATGTATTGATAGGGCAAGGGGAAATGGCTTTAAGTTGAAAGGGGGAAGCTTCAGATTAGCTATCACATAGAAATTCCTCACTGTGAGTGGTGAGGCCCTGGCACAGGTTGCCCAGAGAAGCTGTGGTTGTCCCATCCCTGGAAGTGTTCGGTGCCAGGTTGGATGGAGCTCTGAGCAATCTGGTCTAGTGGAAGGTGTCTCTGCCTATGACAGAGGGGCTGGAACTAGTTGATCTTTAAGGTCTCTTCTAATCCAACCCATTCTATGATTCTGTGATTATGAAAAGTGTCTGAATCAGACACAGAATCAGCACCTCACTGAAGCAAAGCTGTAGCTTTAAAAGAATCTTGAAACAAAGGGAAGACTACACATGGGACAATGGGGGTTAAGCTTTTGGGAGGGAAGAAATTAAGGGAGAAATAATGATTGTTGATACTGATTCACTAGGATGAACCTTGCAGTAGAGAATGCAAAGTCATCTTCTAAAACCCAGCATTACCTGGTTATTGTGTATAGACCTGCTCAGAGCAGGTTTAGACAGCCAGTATTCAAAGCACTAGCAGCTGCCTGGAGCTTCTTGTATTATAGGACTCACACTATCAGAACCAGAAGCTGTACTGGCATTAGCAGTAGCAGAGTATGTGTGAGGGAAAGCACCAGAAGAAAACATACAGCCTTACGGGAATAGTTTAATCCCTGTAATTATGACGACCTGGTAATGTAAAGATCTATAAACAAATTCTGAAGTTTCATAAAACTGGGAGTTTGGGACATTCCCTCAAGGATCTTTGTTTTTAAACCACGTATTTTGGCAGCCTCTGACATGCATGATCCATTTCACTATATTTTTTTCACTAATTATAGAAAGACTATGCCTAATTTCCTCAGAACAATAGCCTGAATTTTTTGAAGATAAGAGTCTGTCATAAATTGACTTAATTGCATTTTAATTAATTTTCATTTATTGCACTGGCTAAAGTATTTTCTCCCATTAAATGCAGAATAAGCACATTTTTTAAGGAAATAAATACTTCAAGGAGACCAACCCAACATGTGCACACACAACTCTGCTGAGGAGTAACATGCTTAATCTTACAAGAATGAACAACCAGGAAGGGATCCATGTTGTAGGAGGACTAAGGCCAAAGACATGTCAACTCTCCTACGGACTGGGCTCCCAAAGAAGATTTTGTAGATTTCTGAAAATCTGAAGGCATTCTGCACCAGGAAGAAAATGGAAGGAATGAGCAGGCAACTGGTTTCTAAAAGATTCTGCAATCCTACTTCCCATGCAAATTTTCAGCT